CCTTAGCATGGATCTGAACTCACTCCCATGGCTTAATTTTGAGCCAAACAATAGTCAGACCTGAATATATACACTATGTGTCTTTCCTATGTTATTCAAAATGCAGTACTGTAGTTTAAAAAAGTCACTTCACCTCTATAAACTTCGGTTTTCTCACCTGTACTGTGGATTTAATAAGGTACAGGCCTCAAAGGATTGTGAGAATTAAACAAGATGATAAAAAGTGCCTAGTACATCTAAACACAGCATTTGCCCCTCAAGGTGTTTTCAATAAACATGCGTTACAAACTATTTTATATGTGTTTTTTAACTGAACTCTTAACAAATAATGGCTTCTCAACTGCTTAGCTGAGAGGAATTACATATTTGCATGACAGGACCTCAGACTGCAATCCCCCTAAAGGAAAGGTATCATGCCTAGGCCATAGTCCTTGGGTTCTCCTAGCTGTTGGCAGAGTTTTGAATGGGATATGATCTTATCCAGTGAATGAATTCTGGAGTGGGGCAGTATGTCCCACAGGAAAATCAAAATTGTCAACAGAATTTCACCCAGAAATGTCCAACCTTCTGTACATACGTCAAAATGGGTTCCATAGTGTAGAAGAAAGAGAATTGACCTCTGAGTTGAGAACATGAGTTCAGGCCCAACCTCTGTCACTTATAAGTTCTGCAACCTTGATCGGTTTACCTAATATCTTAGTTCTCTGACTTGTCCTTTGTACAAACAGAAAGGCTGAGCTCTCCAGTCATTCCTGCCTGCCAGGTTTGTTGTGCAGCTTTCTGGAGATCATGTTCACAAAGGATCTACTTGATAGGTTCTGTGTCTGAAATAGGAGCCCTGTGGCATAAAGGTTATGTGTTGCACTGCTAACCATAAGTTTAACCATTCAAAACTACCAGCCCCTCCATGGGAGAAAGATGAGGCTTTCTATTCACGTAAAGAGTTCACCTTGGAAGCACACAGAGGCAGTTCTACCCTGTCCAATAGGATCTTTATGAGTCAACAGCAAATCCATAGCAGTGTATTTTATTTTTGTTTGATGGGTGAAATAAATTCTCACTCGGAGACCCATGTAAAATGTCGCAGGCATTCTTTGGGGGGCAAGGTAGAAGAGAAACTCCAGCTGTGGGTGTGATATTGTACACTCCCAAAGGCGTTTTGCAATGAGTTGGTGCAGTACTAGTTGAAGAAATTGCCTGAACAAAAGAGATCAAGTAAATATTAGGTGCTGACCCTCTGGGCAAGGCTAGTGACCTTTGAGAGATAGGGGTGGGAGTTACAGAGAAATGTGGTCTAGTTGGAATCCTCCTAAAAACCTTACAGTTGATTCTTCCAGATTACTTGGCTGTCTACTTTACACAGGAAGGAAGCAATATAGCCAAACCCGAAACCTGAAAAGCCTTCAGTTTCTAAAGCTCCCTATATTCTCCACATCCCACTGCTGCCTATTGGACTAAGGGATGATTGGTGCCCCCTATGGTCCATATTAATCTAAATAATAGCAAGTTCACTACCAGACCTGACTGGTACTTAATGCTTGGTGTGGCTGGAATGGAAGAGGGTTAGGGGCCAGACGTTCTTATGGGTAATAATAGATATTCTTCAGTTTGAAAAGTAACTGAGTGAAGAATAGTCCTGCAGTGTTCAGTCCCCTATGCTTGCAGTTTCTCAGGAGAAAACCTACTAGGTGTGGGGAAATAATCTACAGCTTCAAACAATGAGCTTTGCAGATAAGGCAAGGCAAGAAATTATCTGCACCCTATTTATGTGCTTCCTTGTTTTCTTCCATACTTTTGCTCCCATTCTCCTGTCCTGAAATGATAAGACATATTTTCCGATATGTCAGAAGAGGCCCAGTGGCGATGGTAGGTCAAATGCTGGTCTGATGGCATTAGAAGTCATCATAGCTACTGAGGAAATTCCCATGAATGAATGTGGTCAGCAAGCGGTTGCTAAATAATACATTTATTGGGTTTTCTCCAATCTCAAGGGACTGTCACACTGCAGACCCCATTCTAGCTGCAGCCCCACACTTGCTTTGGGCTTAACTCTGTCTTTTATATTGACATATTTGGATGTATTGGGGAACAGAAGGCTTCAAAGGGTCCAATGGAAAACATCACTGACCCTAAATTAGTTCAAGTTCTTTTTGTTTTTTT